TATTTTGATTTGTTAATATTAGCTTCCTTGAATAGCCTATATAGCCAAAAATTATGCCGTTGTCTCCATAAGCCATCCACATTTATAGCACCAAAAATTTTTCTTATGGCTTTTCTCTCAAAATTAGCAAGCAGGTCTGCTTGTGATTTAGTTAAGGACCATGTTTCAGATCCATAAGTTAAGACAGGTCTAATGATTGTTTTATATAGCATATTATTTTTGTTCGTCTTTAAATTACAAAGTATTACTAATTAAAATAAATTATATACTATCTGAGATGTTTGATTTTGAAACAAACTAAATCATTTTTATTTAACTCTACAAATTAAATAAGATATAGAAGAAAATAATACACAAAAGAAAATAATATATAAAATAAACTGTATAAAATAAAATAATATATAATAATTAATAACCCATTTAAATAAAATTAAAAAGTAAATTAAAAAAATAGAGTAATAAAGTAAATTAGAATAAAATGACTTGATTGAATGATTGATAAAATGATTCCATTTAATTTGTGTTAAGACTATAAAATAAGATTAAATATCTATTCTTTTAAAAAAAGAAGAAAAAAAAACTAATTTATGCGGATCGACATTAATATTAAGTGTATTTTTATTAATATTAGACAATTAAAACCTTCGAAGAACAAACTTAAGGATTTTTTCTCGGTGATTCTATATAAGACAATCTTATATAGTTTAACAAAACAATTCAGTAATTAAAAAAGCGTAACTTTTTAACCTAGTAACCGAGGCGGAATAGTTATTTCTGGCTCAATAAACTTCAGCCAACCAGCCAAATCCGAACATCTGTATGGAATGTTTTTTCCCTCTGGTTAAATTTTTGAAAACTGATCTAGCTCGCTTCGAAATCAAAAGCCTCATTCCCTAATTTATTTAGATTTTTCTCGACACTGAACAAGAAAAAATTAATCAAAATTAATTTAAAATGTTAATTACAATTTATTTTAAAAATTATAAATATAATAATATATATTAAATATGAAAATTTATCTAAAATTTTATGATTATTATGTAAAATTTTAATTCAAGTTTTATACATTTTTATACAATTTTTAATTGAATTTCTATTTATTTAATTATAAATTTAATTCTTATAATTTTTAAGAAATAAATTGTTTATGAAAAATAGATTTCGGGACTTCCCCCTTTCAGACTCTTAGGCGTCGTTAAACTAGGAAGTTGATGGTTCCTTCAAGGCTGATGATCAATTACAAATCCTGCATACATATATATAATTTATATATTAATTATATTAAGCAACAATATTATAACTGTAAGATATAATAATATGATTATAATATTAAATAATTTTCTCTTCGTTTTCTGTCCACTTCATAACAGATGAATTAAGTTTACGTGATTTTTAAAATGTCAACTTAGTAACGCACCTAATAAATATGTTAATTAAGTAAGTTAAATTATAACTTACGAAGCTATATTCAATTCGTAAGTTATAAAAATATATATAAGATTATAAGACAATAATATTATAAGAATTTCCATTTAATTATATGCACAATAATAAAAAATGGGGAAATACTTTGAAGATTTTATTTGCTTTTTAGTGTGCGTTTCAAAGTTTATTTGTCATACAAAATAAAGTCACAGTCTGAAAAATTTTTACTCAAATCAAATATTTAATTTTTAACTATTTGTACTTACTGTATTGATTAAAAGAATTCGACTATACTTTAATACAGAAACAAATTTAAAATATATGAAAATTCTGAAATTGTTTTTTAAGAATTATCAATATGGCTAGATTTTTTTTACCTTTATTTCGATGTTTTGACATAGCCTGAATAAAAGCATACATGTAGATATTGCTCATGCAATTCGAAATTATTGGGTTCGTCCAATTTATCTAATTTTGCAGATACGAGAACTTAATTAAATCTGCTAAATAAAATATTGCTTTCGTATTTTGTGAATTCAATTTGTTTTTTCTATTAATTAAAAAAAAATGTTTAAAGTTGAAGATTGATTTTTTTTGCTTCATAGTGGAATCTCTGAAATTATTATTATTTAAAAAACATATGCTTTATTCGCTAATTATTAATGAAAAAACTGCTGCTTTAAGAGACTTAGTACGATATTTTCTATTAATTTTCTGACCCATGTAAATGCATATAGCATTAGGAATTTTAGAGTTTATTTTTCTTAAAAACCACTCTCTAAATTACCGTCATACAAAAAAAATTAAGTATAAAATTTCTGATAAAACCATTTTGCAGAAAAAAATAAGTGAATTCCTTTTCCATTTCCATATGTTAATAGAAAAACGTTTTATTACACTATCTAAAAATCTTCTACCAGCCACTTACCCTAATTTCGACTATAGGAAATTGTTACATTAAAAACCTACATTAAATATCCAAAATTACAATAGTTATAGTAGTATTACAACTATTTACGAAAATGCTTTTCCTCGCCTAATGCCCGTGATTTAATATTCAGTTTGTGAAAAAAACTACATTTTGATGGTTTCAATTGTAGTGATATACATTACAAAGCCATTTACTCCCCTTATATCAATAAAATAATAGGGTTGAATTGAAAAAAGTCTACCTGCCGCCCTACTTTAAGCGAAGAAATTGCTTTGCCAACAATTCCATTAGTAGAAGAAAGAAAGGTTCGTAACATAAATGATCTATTTTTCTCGTAATACGGTTACCGTTTCATCTCTGGCCTTCTGTTTCAAAGCTACAATGAAACATCAAGATGGAAGATAAAATAATCTTCATTTAACTCACGGGTGACGAGACGTTAGTTGACACGGTTGATATGGGTACTGGATCAACCGATTTCAGTAATTAAAATAGCTAATTTATATTTTGTTTTTTTACTTAATAAACATCTTTGAGAAATGTTGAGAAGGGTATACATAATATGTGTATAAAATACAGTATGGACATAAGTTTTAGTCAAGTGGAGAAATTCAAAGAACCTTTACAAAATTCGACAATAAAATTGTAAAAGTAATCTTTAATCTATTTATGTTTTAAAAATATATTCAAGAGGGAACAACACAGTAAACTTAACTAAAAAATAATAATTTTTCCACAGTTTATCCTTTTAAGATTATTGTACCCAACTATTGAATTGATTTTCGTAAAACTATATCAGTTATAGCATAATAGTTCGAGTGCAGCACGCGTCGCAAGACGTGTTGTAATATGTATGAACAAATGAGCTTGTGTGCCAATAGATTTATGGATTTTCTCACTCCTGTGAAAATATTTTAGTAACTACTATCATTTTAACTATTTTATTGAAAAAATTTAAATTATGTAAGAAAAGAATTAATGATATTCTTAATATAAATAGTTAAAATTGCAACCTATTTAGCTGTAAATGTTTTAACGATGGTTGCTGAAGGCTATTGACAGTTTTGGAAGAAATAATTGTAGGCCCAGCAGCTATAGAATATGCTCAAAATGAAGACGATTTTGGCTGCTACTCTAAATACATATGAAGAATGATTTGAAAAGTGCAAGAAAAATGATTAAAGATTGTTGAAAATGATGGAAAAGAAACTTCATATGAACCTGGTATAGTTAGTTGCAAAATTTTATATGTAATATTGATTGCAAAACTCTGAACGGAACTATGTTTTTGTCTGTTGTCTAGTATGTTATGTCCACTTAAACATTTCTTAAAAGACTTCTTTTAAAGTATGGCTAAATGCTCACTATAAATATAGTTTTTGTTGCAAGTAGGAATTTTTTATCTGGGCCAACTGGTTTTGTGTAATCCATATAAATGTAACTTATAAAATTTTTTAAATTTTTTTGCAAAACACCATTCTGCTAAAAAATAATGTCTATAAAAAAATCTTATTTGCAACGAAAAATACATTCAAGTAGTCAAAAATAATCAAAACGGAATTAAATGTTCATGATTTTTTTTTCAACTTATGAGGACAGCAAGTTGTGGATAATTTTAAAAATATAAATTATAAATATTGTATTATATAAACGCTAAGTTTTCAACGTTTTTTTATGAACGTTTTTTATAAACTAACTTTTCCATGCCGCAAAACTACGAGATTTTTTTATAGTCTAATTTAAAATAATAAGTCATAGAGATGAACGCTAAAAAGCTTGATCGATTTGACAGTATAAAATTTAATAAGCTGTTTTTTCATGAATTTTTTTATAAAAAACAAGCAGCATAAATGCTATGCAAATTTAAAATGTTATTCTTTACCTTTCGTAAATTTGAGGCTCAAAAATCTACCAATTCTACATTTTAGCAAAAGAAAACTAAATCACTAGAAACGTTTTCACAGAAACTAATTTTAGTTAACTTCCATGAGTCATTAAATTAAGAGATTGCAATTTTACTTAAAAGTTCATAGTAACTTGATATTTTCAAGAAAAAATTTTAACCAAGAACTAACATTAGATAAAATTGCCTCAATCTAAAACAAAACATAATCATTATTTACCAAGCGGATCAATAATAGTAATTGTTGTTTTATTTATGAATGGAAATTCAATTGATTCAGCGAAAGTACAATAAACGTTCTTCGCACTCTCTCTTTACATTCTTCTATTAAAGGAAGTAAAACTATTAAACATCTACACGAGTGGAATTCTAATTACAACGCCACCTAAAATAGCTTTTGAGGGGAAAGCCTGCTTTTTGTGCTCTTTGTCTTATTAAAATGCTTTTCATTATCTTAATCGCTAGCAGGTTATCTTCGCGCACGTAGAACTAACCAAACAAAAGACATCCTTTTCTTTTTAAGTATATTTTTTTCCTCTTTTATCTTCCGTTCATAGCTAATAAATGTGTTCAATAAACGGGAAATTGAATCTATTTTGATGCCTTTACTTTTATTGATTTTCTGCATTAAAAATTATTGTCTAAAGACGAAGCATACCTGGAAGCATTGCGTCCAGCTGACCGAATGCTTGAGGATTTGTGCTATTGTTATTTTACGCTCAAGTCACGATACAGTTCAGCGGCCAAGCTATGCATCGCTGATTTCAGATATCCAAGTCCGTCTTCCTAAGACTTCAGACTACCGTTTATTCTCTGGGAAGAGCACGTGTTTTATTTCCTGAATAACGTAAACTTGATATCAAACGTAACTAAAGCTTGTTTATACATTTGAATATTCATTGGATATTTTGAAATTCGATACTTAATTGATATTTGCTCGGGCAGTTTGTACTATCATGGATTATTTGTGAATTGCGATAGATTGTTTTGGTATTTTCTGGAGTGGTAATAGAACAAGAGAAGATTTGTCTTGGATCTAATTTTTTAGTGTTGTAAGTATGTTTTTCTTTTTGTCAATCAAGTAATAATCATTTAAGATTTAAAATGACACAGTTAAAAATTGCCGTTTTTTTATGTTATTTACGTTTTTCATATTTTACCGTTTTTTTATGCTTTGTTGACAAAACCGTGCAATATTGCTTACCATATGATAACTCAATCTTTTTTCAAAATTTTTTTATATACTTACTCTTCTTTTTTGTCAATTATTTTATGGTTGCAAACATCGTATAAATAAAACTGTGATTTGATTCATTGCCAAATTGATACTCTACCTAATTATTATATTTATATGGATTGCATTTCTTGTTAGTTAAGTTGCCAGACATTTTCATACAGGTGATTCACAAGGGTTTTAATCGCTTTTACGCTTAAGTAGTATTTCAATAAGTAAGACATATAAGATTAAAAAAAAAAGCTTAAGATTTTTCTTCGTATTGAGATGCTGAATCTGAGGTAGCTTAGAGAGCTTCCCAATGAGATGACCCAAGTTCGAATCCCAGCATTGACAGGCCGTACGAATGCTACTCTTGGCTCACATCTTTCACAATGCTATATTTATTTTTAGAATTTTGTTCGAATAACAAAGTTTGTTTATCAAAAAAAGACATTACCTCTCAATAAACAGGTGTCTGTTTTTTAAATAACAGTATATTTCTGCGAAATAAAAGGTGTTATACTTGCTCGCCAGCTGTAATTTTTTCTTTCTTTTTGCAGTGAAGATACTAATAGGATGTTAAGAAATAAAAATAGTTAGAATAAAAAGTCATAGATAAATTTTTTTTAAATAAGTAAAAATATATTTGGTTCGAACATTCGCTTTTTAAATGAGTAAGAAAGTGAATGCTGCATTGTTATAGGCATTACCCTTTCCTCTGATACTTATAAAAAATACATCTCCCGTCATTTTTATTTTCTTAAAAGAGATACATTTTTGTTAGTTTTGGTAGAGTATTTTTAGAAAAACATTTACTATAAAACGAAAGAAAACTCCAAAGAAAATAATAAGTTATGTTTTTATATTTATTATGTTCTTAAATAATGTAGCTCAACGACAGAAATCAGGTTTAATTTTTTTCCATTTAAATTAACGAATAAATAAAAACAAACAATCTTATATCAAACTTAATTATGAAAACAATACATGTAAGAAAACTATATTTAAATTATCATAGGTTGTGCTTCCCAATATCTTCATGTGCGTTCAAGCAAATTTTATTCTCTAGTAAAATGTCTCAGAAATTTTCTCAGAAAGTCAAAGAAATTTTTAGGAAACCTAAGACTTTGCCACCACTTTCAATTTTTAGAGTATTATTGAGTCTTAGCTTTTTGTAATTTTTATTTAAAAATTTTTTTTTATGGACAATTTATGTTTTGTGATGACCACACATTAAAAAATTACGGTATACAGTACCGGCACATCATCCGTAAAATCAATTTTACAGTGAAATAAATCTTTACCGCAAAATACTATACCGTTATGTTTACATTAATATTTATACAACTGGAGTGAGTCAGAGATTCTACAGTAATTATTACTATAAAAAGTTCTGTAAATCAGATTTTTTTGTTTCTTAACATGTTCCGGAAAAATGGTGTAACGGTTAAAAGTGGAATCCAATCTGAGTGCCGAAACATCTTACCGGATACGGAATTTCTTACAGTGTAGTGTTACTTTTCTATAAAGGGAAGAGATTTTTGATTCACAAGTTATATAAAGATTTTATGTATCACTTAAAAATATGAATAAGCTACGATTACATAAATTCTGTCAAACAGATCAAATATTATGAAGAATGTTTTACTTCATTTGCTAATAAATGCATGTAATTTAATAAATATTCAGAACAATGTCAAAAACATCAATCAGAATCTATAATCAAATCAATATATCTGAAAATATAATGATCAAATTGAATAGGATATATATTTCTGTTAAACATATTATGAAGAGTGTCTTATTTCTTTTGTCAATAAATGCACATAATTTAATAACTATGTATCAGTATAACTTATGCATAAAGTAAATCTCTGTATTTTTAAAGCTTTTGTAAGAGAAAAAAAATTTAGCTGCTTACTTTATTTTTGGCATATATTTACGGCATGCGATTGGCATATTATGTTTTACTGATCTCCATTAAGATGTTACATTTTTTTTATATTTTCTAATATTTACTTCTATATAAATTCTATATAAACAAACCATCGAGTTTGCATTGTTCAGTTATAGACGTTGCTATTGATAAAAATCACTATTTATTTAAACAATAATAGTTTTTCTTAGAACTTGAAATTTTTTGATACGATATTTTATAATTTATATGTTCTACACGAAACACAGATTCCATGCAAAGCAACAAAAAAAGGAATTGAAAAAAATATTTCTTACAAATACACCATTCCTATTTATTTTAACTTGTCAAACATAACGTTAGATAAAGGGAAAAAACCCGAAATAAAAAACTGAAACTGAAATAATTTAAAGTGACAAACAGCCTCATAAAAATGTGAGAAGCAATGTCTTTGAGCTTCGAGCTAAAGTGAAAGCCTATATGAGAAATGATGTTCAATAAATAAATGTTTGTTGAACAAAGAAAACTGATTGCACTAATAAAAATAAGTTTTCTTCCACACTTAAATAATATCTTTCTTCTTTTAGCCACAAATAGAATAATATTACACAGATTGTTGCGCTTTTTCAAAACCTGTGCATGTAATTGATGTTTGATTGTGGTCATTTCGTTAAAATGGTGATATTATTAAATTTCTTCTTAAAAAAATATGGAAATAAGAACCTAATATATAAATCCTTATTACTTTCTTTCTATATAAAAACGTATTGTATTCTTTTTCCGAAATAGATTTAAATTGACAGTAGTACTTTCAATATATAGTAGTACTTTCAATAATAAAATTCAAATATATTTTCCATTAAATTTTTATTGAAAAAGTGAAAAACAAAATAGAAAAAGATGCCCAAGAAAAAAAAATCAGTTACTATAAAATTAAAATCGAAAGAAATGAGCGTTCACATTTTGGCAACCATAAAAATTTTGGCAAAAATGGCAATACTTATTCAGATTGGAAAAAAAGTAACTTTTAATAATTTCATTGAAAGTGTAAAAAACTTAAAGAGAAATAAACTACATAAGAAGAAAGCAATTACTAAAAATAATTAAGATAATTAATACGAAAATTAATTTCATTATTTTTAAATAGAAAAAAAAATGCTCGAAAATTTTTGTGCCCCAAGCACACTGAAAATGATGACACTTTTGTCATTAAAATGCTAGAAACAGTCTGGTTTAAAAATTAGCGCAATTTCTATGTTTTCATTCTTAAATATATTAAATCTTCATACTTTCCCTATAAACTGTTTAAATCTTTATTGTTTACAAATACGTTAAAAGATTTAAAATATTTTTAAGGATTCAAAGTAGTAAACTTTAAAGTATATAGGTTATATGATAAGATTAAAATAAGAGAATAAATAAATATGATTATGAAAGGAATAATGTATATCTATTTCCAAACAACGATTCTTAATCATTTGATTATCTATTGAGGCCTTCCAAAAATAGAGTCCCAACTGAAACATCTATTGATCAAGGATCAAAGAGTAGATGTTTAATAAGGATTTGCAAGAATGTTGATTCATAATACGCACTAATTGATTATAATATGAGATATTTTAAGCATACGGATTGATTGCAACATTTTATTCGGTACATCATTCAAGGACTTATTTATTATATTTGTTACTTTAATTTTAATAATTGAGGTTACAAAAGCATCTGATAAATTTAATAAATGACTTACAACTAATATATGGTGATTACATAGTTTTGTTACATACGTTATATAGGAAATGATACATTTGTTGTAATGTTTCATAACTCTGTGTCTGTACCTTAAATATCTTAGTACCAAATGACAATTTCTAAATAAATCATTCTTATTCATTAGAATATGCCAAAAATTAGAATTTTTGATTCTCCTTCCGCAGGGGAATGGCCAAGAATATTGTTCTATTTTCACGAAATTAAACTGTTAAAAAGTTTTGGTTTAGTGACAAGTTAAAATTCAAATTAAATGAATGTAAAAATTCTTGCCTGATTTTAAACCAAATGAATTTCAATACATTTAAATTACAAATAGTGGTAGAGACAACCGTAAAGACAGTTAGACGTTTCTTAACAGCACTTCCTCTCTAACCAAAGAAAAGAATATTTCCGAAATCAGAATATTTAAATATCCAAATTGATAAAGTTAGAGAAATACCGATAATTTTTGCTCTAAGCTTAACTTTACTCTTAAAGAATTTTTTTTTTCTAGTGTTAACATAACACGTGGATAAAGTATATTTTTTGTTGATCATAAATCATAAAAGCCTAGTAACACATATAATGTAGCGTTTTCATAGCATTAATAATAAAATCTTATATTAATTGAAAATTTTTATTATATAGATTTTTTTTATTTCTGTTGTGAAATCACTCTTTATTGCACAGAGAAAAAATTCTGGTAAAATTATTATACTGTTTGTAATGACATTTCTGATAAAAACTGCAATTATGGTTATAAAAACCAAAACATACGGTATTAAAACCTTTTATTTGGCGATTTTTCCGTTCATATGGCAGCAGTTTTCTAAATTATAGTTGTTATTACTACACATTAGCAGAAAATATAAAACTAAAAAGTAAATTTAACCGAATAAAGGATTTTAGCGCCATGCTCTACCGATGCTATCACGATAAACATACATAATTTTAGGACATTTATCAAATTTTATCGTACATTATAAACCATATTTTATTGCTAATTTTGCCAAAATTATTACCAAGGCGCTTCGGTAAAGAATACCGTGCTTTTAGATATTCCCATGGAGCCGGAAGCAAAGTAAATTTTACCATATTTCAGAATTTAGACGATACTTTCCTTTCGCAGTGTGCAGTAGGGGAGAGTGGGGTCAATTGTAACAGGGTACGAT